GAGGAAGCTCGGCCACCACGTTGGTCCTCTCTCAGCTCCTTCATCGTCCCCTTGCTGTCCCGCGCCCCCTCTCCCGCGCCCAGCACCGGTTGGAAACGTGTGTGGTGGGAGCCACGGCAAGAAATACCAAGGCCCACGCAGCTTGAATGGCAGGAAACAAAAGTCGTTTCCAGACAAGCCCTCTATTGTTGATGTTCTAGAAACTTGGAATGTATGAAGCAGCTTTTCCCCCAGCTGCTGGAACTACCTGTATTTGGAGGGTGCCAGGAGAGGGCGAGGACCTGTCACAACTTCCTTTCTTTCACCTCCGTGCCTGTGGCGGGGAGCGGGACACTTGTCAGGATGGCAGACCTGGTGAGGAGCCCGAGGGGCCCGGACGAGGCTGGGTGAGGACAGAGCGGAGATGGGCGGCACGTTTGGACGTCCTGTCCGTGTGGCCCTGTGTGCTTGCTTCCCGTGTGGCCCTGTGTGCTTGCTTCCCGAGGCCGAGCCCAGCCCTCAGCCGGGTTGCCCCGAGGGCACAAGCGACTCTTCTTTGTCCTCTCTTCCCCGGTCCCCATGTCTGTGTGCTGAGACTGACCGTGGTAATAACCCATCTCAGTGCACGGTTTGCTGGCATCGAGTACGTTCGTGGTGTTGTGTGACGGTCCCTACCGTCTGCCTTTCAGACTTTTCCATCTTCCAGACAGAAACCGTATCCCCATTAACTACTCGTTCTCCGTTTCCCCCTCCCCGCAGCGCCTGGCCCCCTCAGCTCTCCTTTCTGTGTCTGCGGACATTGGATGCATGGAATCGTGCAGCGTTGGTCCCTTTGTGCCCAGCTTATTTTAAAATTTTTCCAAAGTCCCAGAACTTTCTGTGCGAGGGCTTGCCCCTTATCAGAGACGGCACTGGCTTTTCCTCACACTGTGGATTCAGGGACCAGATGCGTCCTGAGGCCGAGGCTGACCCCTCGTGTGTCCCGAAGCCTGGAGGCTCACCGCCTTGGGTGATGCCTAGGGTGGGGGCACTGGCCTCTATTGAGGCTTCGGTGCTGCTGCCGCTGTGGGTCCAGCCCTGGAGACACCATCCATCAGGCCAGAGTGAGGGTTTGGTGGACAGATGGGTGCCGGGTGTGCGTGGCAGTGGCTGCAGCCACGTGGGTATGCACAGTGATGACCTCACACACGCCCAAGTGCCGTGACCCTTTTCGTGACCCATGGACGTACTTGGCCAGGCACCGTGTCTCCCGCCCCGAAATTGAGAGCATTTTTCATAATAAACAGGAAATTTCATTCACCTGCACAAAAAAAATGGACTTAGCTCTGTTGCCTCCAGCTTCAGGTGTTGGCGGATAACGGATAACGGGGTTTGGGGGGGGCGGGAGGGAGCACTTGGAGTTCTTGGCTCTTCCCGTGGTGACTCGGGCGCCACGATTCAGAGATGGCTGCTCCCCCTCCTCCTCTCTGTCATTCCTGGAGTCTTTCTGGGCCCGTATCAGCGGGGGACATTGGGTGGAGGCCGGGGGCTGAACTCAGCTCCCTCTGTGCTGTCCTGACTCCTGGGCCAAAACGAACTTGGCCTGGAGCCCAGCCCATCAGGGAACCCCTGGTTCCAGCACCTCGCCTCTGGCGTCGCTGCCTCCCCAGCCGTGCGAATCTGGGCTCGTTCAGCGTGCGCAGGTCTGAGGACAGGCAGGGTGGCGAGGGCAGGAGTCGGGCCTCGGTTTTGCTGAGCGGGAGCCGTCGTGCAGTCCTGAGTCAGTGCTTTTCCAGCGCTGACCGGCCGCTCCCGGCGCCAGCCATGCAAGGCTCCCTGCCCGCTTCCCTCGCCTGCTGCTCTGCCCTCCCTTCGCGGTTTCTGCCGGGGTCTTCTCTCGGAGCCAACTGTGTGGTGTCCGGGGCTGTGGGGGCTGCGTCCTCTGCCCCCGGCGGCCTGTGGTGCTGGCTCAGGCCTCCTCACACCCTCTGGGCACGGACAGTTGGGTGGTCCGGCTGTTTCCCACCCTCAGCATGGGCCTCGGGTAGGCCGATGGCTGCCCTGCCTGGGCTCAAGTTCAGATTCTTGGAGGCTTTACTGCCCCGCCCCCCACCCCTTCCGCCCCAGTCCACCTCCCCTCCCACCGCCCCCCTTTGGAAACTCCAGCCGGTCGACCGGCCGCTTCTGATCGGGGTGCCCTCTCTCCCTGGCGCACTGGGGGGGGGGCACGGGTTGCCCATTGGAGATGTGGCCAGGCTGCGTGCTAAGTCAACGGAAATAGTGAATTTGAGGTTTTCCTGAGGGTTCAGTCTCACCCCGAGGACGAAAGCTGACCTCTGGCCCCAGGACCAGGCTGAACTTTGGTGACTCTCAGTTCTGACTGGTAGTGCTGGCCCAGGCCCCTCTGCCGCTCCTGCCTGAGAGCTTGCGCGCGTGCGCCTGTGTGTGTGTGTGTGTGTGTGTGTGTGTGTGTGTGTGTGTGTGTGACCTGATCTCATCTGCTCTATAGTCAGAGAAGGAGGAATTGTTTCTGGAATTCCACAAATCGAGAAATCGTAACTCAGGAGTGAGGGACAGCGGGTCACAGTCAGCGCCCGGCGCTGGGAGTCGAATCCGGGTCTGTCTTGGTTAAGAGCCCGCGTTCTTTCTGAGTGCTTAAGTGTGGGCTGAGGCTTGGAACGCTGTGGCTTTGGGCATACAGTTCTGCAGCGCACTTGAACCTGGGGAACCTGGTGGCCAGAATGTTTATCCTTCACCCCTCAGCATGCCCTACCATAAACTGTGTATCTTAAAGCCCTGGCAGTGGGGGCCCTGGTTCTGGCCTGAGTAGAGGTGGTCTCTTGGGGATCCCATTTGGGGACCTGCATTCAGTCCAGGAGCCTTGGCAGGACCCGGAGCAGCTGAATACCTCCCTGCTGACCTACTGAGCAGGTTCCCCTGGGGCCGGGGAGGGCTGCCCTCCCCCCTCATGGTGCTGTCGGTCACTCTGTCCTTTTTCTCTGTTCTCTCCCTCTACCTGGTACTTTTCTGTAACCTGTAGTCCACACGGTGCATGGCGACATCCCAGTGTGTTCAGGGGTGGCAGCATGTTGTGTAGGCAATGCTAGCCTGGGGCAGGCTGTCAGGACCAGGAGGGTGGTGGGCCCGTAGCTGGCCGGGGTCTCAGGCTCTTCTCTAAGGAAACAGCTTCTCCAGCTTACTTTCAGGAGCTCGACTGTGCTCTGGGGTATGTTTGCTGCTGCTTAAGAGGCCCGGCCTGTGTTGGACACGGCCTATGGGGAGTGGGTGAAGAACCAGGAGCCCAGGGACAAGGAGGCTCACCCAGAATCACCCGGAGAGGAAATGGTAGCTCGGGGGCTTTGAGCCAAGCTTCCCAAAGACTCTTAGGCCATTGTTGTCACGTGGTCTTCCTACATCTTCTCATCTTTATTCCTAAAAGTTGAGAAATAGGGGCGCCTGGGTGGCTCAGTCGGTACGTGTCTGCCTTCAGCTTGGTTCAGGATCCCAGGGTCCAGGGATCGAGCCCCGTGCTGGGCTCCCTGCTCAGCGGGGAGTCTGCTTCTCCCTCTGGCTTGTGCTTGCTCTCTCTCTCTCTCTCTCTCAAAGAAATAAATAAAATATTACAAGTAAAAAAATACAAGATGAGAAATAGAACCTTCCCTCCCTTCTGGGGGCAGTGGAAGAAGTGGAAACATTTCGAAGAGACGTGACTGTGAAATAGGGTACAGGTTAAAGTGCTGTTGCAGAGACCCAAAAATCCTTTGGCTTAAATCAGATATTAGCTAGTTTACGTGGAAAGAAACAGTCCAAGGCCATCCTGAACGTTCAGCTTTCATCTCCGAACTCAAGGTGGTTGCTCCTGCTCCTGCTATCACATCTGCATTCCATTCCTTAGGAAGGGAAAAGAGGACAAAGGTCTTAGAGACCTTGTTCATGTCTGCTGCAGGAGAGGCTAGGAGATTCGGTCTTAAACTGGCGGGCCGGAAGTCAGCTAGAACTGGTCCATTCTGTCATTCGAGGGAGAGCTCTGATGAGCAGTTTCTGCTGCACTTGGCCACGTCCACCAGGAGGCTTCCACTGGACGGTGGGAGACTTGGAGTTGAGAGCTAAACTTGATGTAGTCCAGCTACCTCATTTTAGAGAAGCATTTAAGACCTAGGGGGTGGGGTGTGGTGCGTAGCATTGCATAGGCTTATCTGGGCCTCAGAGATGGGCTAGAGTTAATGGTTTGGGCCGTAGGCCTGTGGTCTCCGTCCTACAGCTGAACTCTGCTGCTGTAGACACGGGCAGCCACAGACGGTCCAGAGGAATGTGGCCATATCCCAGTAAAACTCCAACATATGGAGCAGGTGATGGGCCAGCTGCCGTTGGCCAGCCCCTGCTGTGGAGAATAAACGAGGTTCCTAGAGGAGGGGGTGCCGGCACGGGTGCCCCGCAAGTAGCAGCTGCAGGTGTCACAGCTGTTCCTTACTGTCCTTGTCATACAAGAGCATCTCGCCGGCAGGCCGCAGCCCGGGTCTCTGTTCTTCTCGCCATACCGAGCTGAGCTCCCCTCCTTGTCCTTGCCGCCTTAGAGCTCATATTTTGTGACTTTTTTTCTTTCTTTTGAGATTTTATATATTTATTTGACAGCAAGAGTGAGGATGAGCGGGACGGTGTGTGGGGGGTAGTGGGAGGGGGAGAAGCAGACTGCCCGCTGAGCAGGGAGCCCGACGCAGGGCTGGATCCTGGGACCTGAGCCGCCAGCAGACGCTTAACGCGCTGAGCCACCCAGGCACCCCTGGATTTTGTGACTTTTTCTGCGTTATTTATCTGTGGCGCACCTCTCCGTGCCAGGTGCTCTGTGGGCAAGGGTTACACCGGGTGGACACAGAAATAGGGGGACCCAACGCCCCTGCACTCAGGGTGCTGTGCTGGCCCCGTGCGGACATGGTGGGGATTTAAATGAGCCCAGGCTGGGCAGTCCCAGGTCAAGTCGGGGAGGAGAGCCTCAGAGCAGCCCGGCCCCTGGTGCCCCTGAGCTCAGCCCGCTCTTCCCACAGGGTACGACTTCGCCGCCGTGCTGGAGTGGTTCGCCGAGCGGGTGGACCGCATCATCCTGCTCTTCGACGCCCACAAGCTGGACATCTCAGACGAGTTCTCTGAGGTCATCAAGGCCCTCAAGAACCACGAGGACAAGATCCGCGTGGTGCTGAACAAGGCGGACCAGATCGAGACCCAGCAGCTGATGCGGGTCTACGGGGCCCTCATGTGGTCCCTGGGCAAGATCATCAACACTCCCGAGGTGGTCAGGGTCTACATCGGCTCCTTCTGGTCCCACCCGCTGCTCATCCCCGACAATCGCAAGCTCTTTGAGGCGGAGGAGCAGGACCTCTTCAAAGATATCCAGTCTCTGCCCCGCAACGCTGCTCTCCGGAAGCTCAATGACCTCATCAAGCGGGCGCGGCTGGCCAAGGTAGACTTGGGGGTGGGCTGCTGGGGGGCCCCAGGATCAAGCTGCCATGGCTCTGGGGTGCCCGAGACCCGTCCCATAACCCACTGCCACACCGCTGCCCTGTGTCTAAACGGGTCCTCTCTGCACCTGTGGGTGCTGCCCTTTCTCAACTGAGTCCTCCTGGTGCGTGCAGACGTTAAGCGGGAGGGGAGTGCTGGGCCGGGGAAGGACAGCCTGGGAAGTGGGGAGGAGGCGAGGGCAGGGCTTACCGGCTTCCCCTCCCAGGCCTGTCGAGCATTCCGCACGGGCGGGCTGCTGGGGACACAGTGGGGACTGACACACACTGTCCCTGCCTTTCTAGCGCGCCCCGGTCGTACCAGGAAGGCAGAACGTGTGGAGGAAAGTCAGGCCCGGTTGTTTGTCCTGTCGTGGGAGGCCGCAGAAGGCAGTGACTGGGAGGCCGCGGGTGGGCACGGACGCATACGCCGGGACAGGAGGGAGCGAGCGGAGAGATGGGGGGCAAGCCTGTCGGCTGAGGGAGAACCCTGGGTGGCCTTGGTCCCCAGCGGTCTCCAGAGCCATCCCGTCCCCCCCCCCCCAGGGAGGCACAGGGCCCGCTGGTGCCTGCTGGCGGCATCTGGATTGCTCAAAAGCCTGGAATCTCGACACTTGCCTACAGACTTCAGGGAGACCCCAGCGTGGCTGGGGCTGGGAATGAAGGCGGATGCCGCCAGCAGGCCCTTCGGTCACGGAGGGGCAGAACACATCCCGCAGTGTAGCCCGGCCACCTCTGTGCACGTGCGTGGATCCTAGATCCATGGGGCTCCGAGCTCGGCTTCAGCGGGGACCCCGAGTATCACCGCTTCTCTGACGACTTGGCCGTGGAGGGCAGGGTTGTTTACACCCGCCTCGGGGCTCCGGAGGTGCAGGAAGGGGTTCCGTGGTGGTTAGGGCTTTGGCAAAGGCAGTCCTGTGGCCGGTGAGACACAGTCACCCCAGGCTTCCCAGTAAAGGACTGAGGAGGGGCGCCTCCTCTCCAGTGGCAGGCCCCCTTCGGCGAGAACCAAGAGCAGCCCTGTGACCCGGGCTCCTGGCTCTGGGAACCCACATGTGTGCAGCTCTGACTTTTGAGCGTTTGCCATGGGTCCCACACGGTGGCTCAGGCTGCGCTACACCATTGTGAGGTCTGAAGTCAGGTGGCATTTTGGTGTTCACTGTCTTGAGTAAAAAGAATTCAACATTCACCTACCACCAGTCCGTGTTTCCACACTGGTTACCCGGAACACTCGTGGATCCCACCGGAATGTGCTAGAAGGACAAGCTTTCGGGCCCCACCCCGCATGGCTGAACCATCTGGGGATCTGTCTGCACAGTGAGGTCGCAGGATCTGCTCTGGGGGATCCAGGGACACTCAGTTTTCCACATGTCTCACTTCTGGAAGCTTCCCAGTGAGGGGGTTGGTTCTGGGAAGGGAACCCGTGAGAAAACCCGTGTCACTGGCTCCTGGCCTCCCATTTCCAGGCTGCAGGGAAGGGCAGAGCTCCTCCCTCTTGGTCCAGTGCACCCCCCCCCCCCCAGCGTCTCCCACCAGAGGGGCCACCTGTGCCCTCGCGCAGCCTTACTCAGGGAGAGAACGAAGGGCCGGCTCTCCATTCACGGATAAGTGGTGTGTAATCGCCTGGCCTGCGGGCACCCTGAGTCACCGTGCCCGGAAAACCCCAAGGCTTCCTATCTTGTCCCACACCTGTGGGTGCCAGACGGCTTCCTTTTCCTGGAGCGAGTGGCTTTTCGTGCCAAGCTGCACGGGCCGGTGACGGGCAGAGCGGCGGCCGCCGCCCTGCAGCAGGCCTGCTTCCCTCGGGCGTTCTCAGCCGGTGGGGCTCCCATGGGGCACACGGGGTCCGGCTTGTGGAGGGGCTTTGAGGGGGTCGAGTTGGCAGGGCTGGGAGTAGGAGGGTGAGGCTGGCTGCCTGCAGCCCTTCACGCCTGGACGTTCCTTGGCAAGTCAGTGGGATCCGAGAGCCTGTGGCCTTGGAAGGCAGCCAACGCTACCAGCCCACTGAGGGAAGTGAAGGGTGTGCCACACTTTGTTGGCAGACGTTGAAGTAAGGTACCGAGCTTTGAGGAACTTCAGAACATCGGGGCGAAGGCTTATGTGCTTTTCCTAACACTTACTCATTCTGAGCTGTCCGGGTGATAAACTGAGCGGAGCTCGGGCTGCATTGGGGTTTTGTGACCTTGACGTCAGCGGCCCCCAGTGTGCGCGTGCGGATGGCGGGGCAGCAGGCCCCATATCTCTGCCGCGGGATGGGGAGCTGGGGGTGTGCCCGGCGCCTCAGAGAACGCGGGCCCTGGGTGGCTGCGGGCGGTCCCTGGTGACCTCAGCCTCCTGGAGCAGCCCATCTCTGGCCCCTCCCGACACGGTGTCCCTTCCTGTTTTCCAGGTCCACGCCTACATCATCAGCTCCCTCAAGAAGGAGATGCCCAATGTGTTTGGGAAAGAGAGCAAAAAGAAGGAGCTGGTGAACAACTTGGGAGAGATCTATCAGAAGATCGAGCGGGAGCATCAGATCTCCCCTGGGGACTTCCCGAGCCTCCGCAAGATGCAGGTGCGGCCGCCCCGCTTGGCCTCCCGCACCGGGGCCCCCCGAGTTCAGCGGCAGCGCCCCACCGCGGGCCATGACACCGCGGAGGGGAATGTGGTGACTCACCCTGAGCGGTGGGGGAAAGGGCGGGGCACCAAGCCTCCCAGCACCGTCAGGGCTCATCCCTCGCCCCACCCCACCCCCCACCGACCCCAGCCCTCAAAGGGAAGGTGCTGTTGCCACTTTGACCTTACAAGCTCCAGAGCCAAGGCCGAGGGGCGAGCCAGGGTGGGGTCGTGACCTGGGCCCAGCTCTTGCCTGGCGTGGCATCTGCGGGGACCTAACCTGGCCTTCCCCCCTCCCCTGCCCACCACAGGAGCTCCTGCAGACTCAGGACTTCAGCAAGTTCCAGGCCTTGAAGCCCAAGCTGCTGGACACGGTGGACGACATGCTGGCCAACGACATCGCCCGGCTCATGGTGATGGTGCGACAGGAGGAGTCCCTGATGCCCTCCCAGGCCGTGAAGGGCGGCGCCTTCGACGGCACCATGAACGGGCCCTTCGGGCACGGCTACGGCGAGGGCGCCGGCGAGGGCATCGACGACGTGGAGTGGGTGGTGGGCAAGGACAAGCCCACCTACGACGAGATCTTCTACACCCTGTCGCCTGTCAACGGCAAGATCACGGGCGCCAACGCCAAGAAGGAGATGGTCAAGTCCAAGCTGCCCAACACAGTGCTGGGGAAGATCTGGAAGCTGGCCGATGTGGACAAGGACGGGCTGCTGGACGACGAGGAGTTTGCCCTGGCCAACCACCTCATCAAAGTCAAGCTGGAGGGCCACGAGCTGCCCGCTGACCTGCCTCCACACCTGATCCCACCCTCCAAGCGGAGGCACGAGTGACCGCCCTGAGTGACCGCCAGCGCGGCCCCCTGGGGGGGAGGGGCCATAAAGACTGAGCCGCGGTTCCTCGGCTCTTGCGAAGGAAAACCACCATCTTTCTTTTCAGGCTGTTCCCGGGCCCAGCAGGGAGGCGGGTGGTACTTGTATGTGAATGATGGAATTTTGTGCACAAGAACTATGGATATTTTTAATATATAACGTTAGAGGCAGCGTTCTTTCTTGCCTCCTCCGTCTGACAGCCCCACACACGTGAGCCCCTGTCCTCCCTGCCTCCGGCTCTACTGTACAGCACATGCCCTCCCCCCGCAGCTGTGGGGGACCCCGCGGCCATGTGTAGACAGGAGCCCCAGCATTCCCACTGGTTTCTAAGCTGAGTGCCGCTTTGCTGAGCCCTTGGCTCCTTCCCTGTCCAGCTCTGCCCCCTCCCCACGCTCCCGGAATAAGCTGGTCTGGTGCCTTCCACCTCGCCCTCCCGGGAAGCCCTCATGCGTGGACCCTGCTCTTCGCTCTCACATCTCCCCCCACCCTAGCTTGAAAGTCACAGAAACAAGCCCAGCTCCCATTTTTATGAGCTCCAGGGAATGAGGAGGGATGTGAGAACGTCCCTCAGAAAAACATAAGCTACTTTTGTTCTGTGAAGTGACACCTTTCCTACTTGACTGAATTTTCCAGTAACTTTGCAACTAGGGGCATCTCCACCCAGGAACCATGGGATGTGGAGAGCACACCCTGTCTGGGACCCCAGGGTTTCCTGCTTCTCCCTTTCACTCTCTTGGAACATTCTGGTGTCCCTCCTCCCCTACCTCGGATGGGTGGTGGCCTCCATGAGTCTGGCCTGGCTTGGTGCTCCAGCCCGGGCCTCACGTCCAGACATCAGAGACCAGGGACAACCCGCCCTTTCCTGCTCCTCCATTCATTCCCCACCGAAGCTCTCTCCTCCCTTCTCCCCTCGAGCAAAAAAGGGCAGTGGGTGTCTCGGATGCCCTGAGAATCACATCCCTCTGGGCTAAGGGATGGGACTGGAGACAGTGAGCAGAGCAGCCGGGGCAGGCCGCCTCTCGGCTTTCCCTTGGCTGGGCTCTCCCAGCATGGGGGGGTAGCCAGGACGCACCCCACTCACTGGCTTCCTGCTGGAGCCACGGGCAGGGGAGCCCGCATCCCACCAGGCACCCCCCGCCCAGGCCAGGTCTCAGGGACTCCTCCATCGGACCTCTTCTGTGCCCCCTGACCCCAGCCCCCCAGTGCTGCTCCCCGGGCTCCCGCAGGGTCTGAGTTACCTGCGCTGGCTTCGGCCCAGCAGTGTGTGCAGTATCAGCTGAGGGCCGCGGCGGCCTCCTGGTTGCGAAGTTGCCGTGAGGGGCCCTAGCTCATCCCCACCTGCCTATGGCAAGGAAAAGCAACGGAAGATGGCGCTTTTTTTTTTCTTGCATTAAAAAACAGGTTGACTTGCACTGAAGCTGGCTTTTGGTGCTAAGTTGTCTCTCCCTGGGGCCTGCCCCGCACAGCACCTGCTGGGACGCCGGCCGAGCGTCAGGGGGGCGGAGGCCACTGGGCAAGCCTGCGGGGTGCGGTGGGGGTCCCCTCCCCGGGATGCGCAGCTCAGCAGCATAGAGTGAGGCCTGCCATGCGGCTGACGGCCCCTGGTCCTTGTGCTGGTCCCTGTGCTGGTGCGGGCTGAGCCAAAGTAGTTTTATTGGGAAGGGGACGACGGGGTGAAGACGCGGAACTTCCGGTGACTGAAAGGCTGGCCCCGGGGGCTGGAGGAGAAGGTACCGCCCTCTGCCGCCTTCCCAGCTTCTCCTGCAACCCGGGCCCCTCCCTAGCCTCGGGCAGTTGGGGGTGCCACGGGGCGCTCGGCCCTAGGAGGGATCACATAGACAAGGGTTTACCGGGCCACACGCTAGCCTCAGGGTGGCTTGGAGACCCTGAGGCCCGGCGGGCCCACCAGCGACAAAAACACAATTAGGAAGGGTTGGTTCCAGAGGGAACCGTGGCCAGTTGAAGCGAACGGGCCCTGGAAGGTAGAACACTCGAGATGTGGTTGGGGTGGACACCGGTCAAGCCGGGGCTAAAAAGCAGGTCACAGAGAGGTGCCCGTGGCTTCTGAGGGCCAGGCTGCAGGCCGCAGCCCACGTGGCAGGTGTCCGGTCTGATGGCCAGTGGCCGAGCTAGCGGGGGCTCGCCAGCCCTCCCGGTACCACTCAGGAGGTTTGCCTTGACCACCAAGACCCAGGAAATGGCTTTTTCCCATCTCACGGCCAGGAACCGGAGACTGGGGAGAGCTGGGAGACTCCAACCCGGTCAGCCCGACTGCAGAGCACCAGCTCTCGAAAGCAGCCTTTAAAAAGGAAACGCTCGTGGGGTGCCTGGCGGGCTTAGTCGGCTAAGCGTCTGCCATCAGCTCAGGTCATAATCCCGGGGTCCTGGGATTGAGCCTCACATCCGGCTCCCCATTCAGTGGGAAGTCTGCTTCTCCCTCTGCCTGCCCTCTCCCCCTGCTTGTGTTCTCTGACAAAATCTTAGAAAAGCTCGCTGTGCTCCCAAAGTCTGCGTGAAAGACTCGGGTTTGAGAACCCCATGCTGAAGGTCCATTGCGGTCACTCCAGCCCAGGGCCTTGAAGGCTCAGGACAGCCCTCAATTTCCAGGGGTCATCCGAGAGGTAGAGCGTGCTGTTAGAGCTGTTAGAGAAAGAAAACACAACTTCCAAGTTCTTACGGAAAGTGGGTGAGAGGCGCTGCTGGCGGGCTCGGCCTCCTCCAGCCACGGCCCACACAGCACCGGGGTGCTGCCCATCTGAGGCTTGGAGGAGAGGCTCTCCGCAGCTGTCTGCCCCCCTGCTGCTTCAGAGCCTGTGTCCCCAGTCTGTGTTTTATAGCTGGGGGGAGTGGGGTGTCTTCTTCCAGCCTGAGGTTCAAGTGTGGCCAACCCCCCTGAGGGCTGGCCCCCCATCCCTTCCTCCTCCCCACCCCACAGCTGGCCAGAATTCTGGGCACAAGACCCCTCTTCAGAGCCTAATCTGGGGCACAGGGGGCTGCCTGCACTTGGCCCCCAGAGCTCCTGGAATGAGGGGCACCTCAGTCCAGCACCCAGGGAGCCATGGGTGCCACCCCTGTCTAAGCCACACTCTGCAGCTCTGTTTTCTTAAAATATTTTTTAAAAAAATATTTTATTTATTTATTTGCTGGAAAGAGCAACAGAGTGTGAGAACACAAGCAGGGGGAGCAGCAGGCAGAGGGAGAAGCAGACTCACCGCTGAGCGAGGAGCCTGATGTGGGACTCCATCCCAGAACACTGGGATCATGACCTGAGCCAAAGGCAGACAGACGCCCAGCCAACTGAGCCGCCCAGGTGCCCCTTTTTAAAATATCTTATTTATCTGAGAGAGAGAGAGCTCGAGAGCTCGTGAGCTTGAGGACGAGCAGGAGGGGCAGAGGCAGAGGGAGCTCCGCTGAGCAGGGAGCTGGCTGCATCCCAGGACCCTGATCACGACCCAAGCCGAAGAAGGCAGACGCCCAGCCAGCTGAGCCACCCAGGCGCCCCCGTGGCAGCTCTGTTTCACACATCCACGCTCCACGTGAGAACACACCAGAACGAGCATTATTTCTACTCTTCTACTGTGGGGCTCAGGCCAGGCAGGCAGGAGTTAGAATCCCGGCTCTGCCACTTGGCAGAACCCAGCCTCTCCCTTCCCGAGACTGTTTTCTTTCAGTGCCAAATGCAGGGACCCCAGCTTCACTGAGGCCGGGTCCCTGGGGTGCCCTGCTCCAGCCACCCGCTGTGGTTGGTACGGGGGTGGGGTGTTAAGGGTTGGTGCAGGGATTGCGGGGGTTAAGGGTTGGTGTGGGGAAGCCCAGCACCCCACCCAAGTCCCAGAACAGAGGAGGCAGGGCCCACCCTTCCCTGAAGCGGCTCACAGACTGGGTGGCGCCCGTGGGCCAGAGGGGTGGTGGCCGAGGGGCTCCTGGGCTTGGCTCCCTGTGCTCCCAGAGGGATTGGTAATGATAAAACCACATGGGGCTGCCGCAGCTGTGGAGCATGGGAGCCCCTATAGCGTGTTGGAGCAGCACAGAGGTTTTTGGAAGAAAAACCAGGATGATGAAATCACCATATGTCCACCCATTTGGAGCTTTGGACTTTTCAAAGGACACACCCCCGGTGTGCTGGGGAGGGCAGGGGAGCTGGGCTGCCAAGACTAGCTTGGGGAGTGGGGGGGCCCCAACTGCACCAACTCCATCAGCCCTTCCCCGAAAAGCCACCCCAACAGACAGACAGTGCCATTAAACCCGAGTGCCTGAGCAGCAGGACACAGCGACCGCCCTGCCTCCCCGCCCAACCACACACTCTTCCTGGACAGACAAGGTCCAGCAGCCATTGGTGGTCAGTCCTCTTTTGCATTTCTGGCCTGAGCTGGGCAGTTCTTCCTGGTGCACAGAGACCAAGGCCCAAAAAGAGAGGGGAAGTGCCTTGCCCCAGGCCACATGCCCGGTCAACAGTAGGCAGGGCTGTATGAGGCCGCAGCCAGCCTCTCAGTTTTCCCCAGCCCTCTAGGGCAGGAGTGCGTCACTGCTTCTGGGGCGGCCAAGGGCAAGTGCAGTCTGGCACTCTAGTCCCCCCTGCGGGACCATCTGCTAGAGCGGCTTCCCCGAGCACGGCTGGGAAGGGTTCAGCCTCAGCCACGGGGCTGCCTCTCTCTCGACTTTGGGGGAAAGGGGAGCCACAGACCAGGCTGGGGAGGCCTACGATGTGGCTGTCGATGCGAGAAACCCTGGAAGTCTCTATACTCAGAGGGCTATACTCCGGGGGCAGGAGAAGCGGGGTTCCCTGCCCCTGACTTGGGGCCCCCTTATCTGGGCCGGCCTCTCTCCCCCGGTAAGCCCAGGTCACACCGTCTAAGGCCCTTGGCAGAAGGTCTATGTCAAGTCCACTGTCATTTGGCCTTTCCTCACTCCTGTCCCCAGCATAAAGGCACAACACACTGCCCTCCTGTTCCCTGGCACTGGCGGAGACTGGCAGCCTGGGTCAGGAGGCACGCTGGCACTGCCCCCTCCCCGATCCCAAGCCTCAAGGTATTAATTTATTACAGGAGGGAAATAATAACCCCCTCCTCGTGAAGATAACAGATCTGCAGTCCCTTTGAGATGCTCAGAAGCACCGCAGGAATGGAATGTAAGGTGTAATCCGGAGATCTGCTCTCGGTGGGACTGGGTGAGAGAGGGGGGAAGAGGTTATGAGGGCAGCAGGTGCCGCACCTGGGTGGGCCTCACACAAGCAGTGAACGAGATGGCAGTAGGGAAGAGGGAGGTAGTGGGGGGTCTCCTGCTCAGACTCACCCGCTGAGCACCCACTGGGCTGGCCCACAACAGGGGTCCCTGGGGCAAGGACCTAAGCTCAGAGAACAGATGTACTGAGACAAAGCAATGCTGGGTGCAAGAACTTTCTGGGCTCAGGGCTGGAGGACAGGTGCTTGTGGAGGCTGGAGGAGGAGTTCAGGCACTGACTGAGTCCTGAAGGGTTTTCCAACCTTGGAGCCCCGCAGGAGTGGGCAGAGCACCCAACCTCCTTTTACAGATAAGGAAACTGAGACTTGGAACGAGGATGTGACAAAAATGAATACAGAACCAAACTGAACCAAGTACCAGATAGGCAGGGAGTGCCGAGCCCTGGTCCCAGTTCGGCCCAAGCAGACCTTGGCAGGCCTCCTGTTTTAGTGGTCTATGACTCAGTTTCCCCTCTGCTGTCCAATGTGGGCATGGAATCTTCTTTTCTTTTTAAAATTTTAAATTTTCATTTTTTAAAAAATATTTTATTTATTTGAGAAAGAGAGATAGGAAAGCATGAGAAGGAGAAGGGGCAAAGGGAGAAGCAGGCTCCCCGCTAAGCAGGACCCTGGGATCATGACCTGAGACGAAGGCAGAAGCTTAATGACTGAGCCCCCACGCGCCCCAGATTTTTAATTTTCTTAAGTAATCTCTACACCCTGGGGCTTGAACTTACAACCCTAAGATTTCAAGAGTCCCAGGCTCTAGGGACTGATCTAGTCAGGTGCCCCTATTGTGATGTTTTTTATAGGGAGCCCCCAGTAAAAGGCAGGAATTCCAGGCATTCAGGTCCCTGTAAGGTGGGCTGAGTCAGCCAAGAACCCCTGTGGGGATGGAGACTTCTGGGCAAGAGGATAGCCTTGTCTGAGAATAGCATTCAGAGGCTAGGGACTTGCCAGAGGTCGCACTTGGGAGTGATCCAGGACCCAGAGGCCTCACTGGTTGGCCCGTGACTGCTGACCCCTGGGGGCTGGGGGCAGGGAATCAGGGTGTCCAAGAGGGGCAGAGGGAATGGCCCATCTTCCCACCCAGGACACTTTGCCTACCCTCTAGTTCCCTAGAAGATGGGCGCTTGGACTTGGCCTGAGCACCTGGCCCTCCTCTGGTCTCTGGCGCCCTCCTGTGGTCGGTA